CATCAACGTTGCTCGGGCGGGCACGAGGTCGCAAACGGAGTCCAGAGCCAGCCTGCCGATGGAAACGACAACTCGTCATGACCGCAAACAAGCACCCGGAAACTGTCACAGGCATTGCACACGCTGCATTTTCTTTGTGCTGGGGCGTCTCGGACTCGGGGGAACGTCTTCACAGACTCTTATCCAATATGCCAGAAGCCCTGGCCCAAGCGAAACACTCGTACGATCGCGAATTGACTTTAATCACATATGTCACGGACTAGTAGTAAGACTTTAATCACATGGTCCCGCTCGGGCTCTGTCTTCCTCGTCCCCAAAATGGTCCAGGCCCAATTATCGGGCGACGGCTGCTCGGGCCCTCACTGGCCGTGCTGCCTCTGCCAGTCTTCCCACTTCTTCCACTCGGCCTCAGATTCTGACTCAGAGAGGTTTTCACAGACATCACACAACGCCCGCTGATTACAACCCAACTAATCTGCTGCCCAGTGTCCTGCTGCTCCTCGTACCAGGCCCGCCAACGTTCGTCCCAAACGCCGGGCTGCGCCGCCACCTCCTCCGCAGGCAAGTCGCCCTGGAAAACGCCCTCGGCCGTATCATGGTGCCACTCCTTCTCACGCTCATGCTCGGCCGTCGTTGTGGGAGGTGCCTGAGAGGGGGTCGCGGTCTGGCTTGTCTCGGGCCCTTTTGCGGGCTGGGGCTGCTGCACGGGCTGGGGCTGCACGGGCTGGGGCTGCTGCACGGGCTGGGGCTGCTGCACGGGCTGGGCCTGCACGGGCTGGGCCTGCACGGGCTGGGCCTGCACGGGCTGCTTGTTGGGCTGGGCCGGCTGCTGCTTGGGCTGGGCCGGCTGCTGCTTGGGCTGGGCCGGCTGTGCTGGCTTGGCCGACGGCGCCTCGGTCGGGGTGAGCTCGGGCTTGCCCTCCTCATCGGGCATGTTCCACACATCGTACGGCCCGACTCGGTCGATCTCCTGAGGCCGCAGGCCAGGTGCTGCTGGCGGCTCGGGCATTGGTGGGGGCCCAGGCACAACCTCGGCTGGCACGTAATGCACCTCGGACCGGGAACCTCGGTCTCGCGGCGCGGGCGACGTTCTCCGACCACCCTTGCTTTTGCCTGGGAGCACGGTGCTGCCTGCTGCCCCCATGCTCTCTTTCTCGGCCTTGGTGACAGACACTTTCACGCCACCCTCGGACACACCGGGCTCCACGTGCTCCTCGTACTCCCAGTCATCATCGTCGAGCTTGCCGGACCATGTCAGCCCAGCCGCTTCATCTAAGCTTCACAATGCGAACACAGTTTGCCTTCACTAAACTTGCAAGTAAAGTGGCCTTCACTAAGTCAATGCTGCCATTAATAAGTGCTGCTAAGTCTCTGAACGCGTGCATCTTCTCTCGGACGTGGGCCGTTACCACCTTGTCCGGGTGCCACGAGCGTTCCTTTCGGTCCTGACTCTTCTTGGACTTGAACTGCTCCGGGAACCTCTTCTCGAGCACAAATCCTTGGCGGGGTTGGCCAAATATCATAGCTAACACCAAAATGTCACTGCATTGTTGCTTTAAATGCCCAAGCGGCTGATAAGCTTCGGGGAGATGGCGTGGGCATGCTCAGCTCCACTCGGGCTGTGCATCAGAAGCGCCAGGAGGCCCTTAGGGACACTGGCACGGCAGCCGAAGTTGAAAGTTGCTGCTACATAGCATACTAACTCAATACACTGGCAAAGTCAAGTGGCACAGTAGGCCATGTCGTCGCATCGACACACACGGAGCAAGTAGTACAAATGCGGCGCGAGCTCGTTCAGCTTCTCGGTCACCTGGCAGGGAACGACGGCTTCCGGTTGAAGCCCCGCGATCTAAAATGCATCAGTCAGAATCGGGGCCTTCTCGAGCGGGACACTCTCGTCAAGGGCGTGGAAGCCGGCACTGGCACCCTGACCCTGACCCTGACTGTGGCTCGGTGCTGGGCCAGCCATGTAGGCAGCTCTGGCTTCAGGTCCCAGTTTTGCGAGTGCCTCAGGCAGAGACTCATGCACTCGGTCAATGCTTGAATCTGACTCTCAGAAACACTCTCATGCTAGGGCCTCGGGGTTGTTGATCAGAAGTCCGTACTGGAACCCTAGGGTGTCGTAGTCTGGGTGACCACGGGTCGGCATGAAAGTTCTGAAGCTGAAAGCTCGGGCCGAAACTGCATTTTTCACAAACAACTCAACTCTGCTGTCAAACTTGACCAGACTCATGCGCTCAAATCTAACTTTGCAGCAGGCTAGGAAGCACCGGGCGCCTCATCGTCGTGCCGCGGAGACTCGAGCTCCAGCACTGGGTCAAGAACAGCACCTGGGCGACGCATGTCCATGCGGGCTACTCGAGCTGGACTTGCAACACAGCCACCTTGCTCTGCGGATGATATCTTACTTTTTCGACCGACAAAGCCGGCTGGCATCGCTGGACTGCAAAAAGACTCGGTCTCCAGCAGCGCGTGGAAGACAGACTCTCGTACTTAAACATTCAACTCGTACGAGGCGGGGCTGCACCAGCTTTCGCTGCAGCTTTTTGACCCTCGGTCATGTGGCTCTGGTCAATGCACGGACGTCCTCAACGGTATTCAGACTGGGCAAAACCAAGGCAAACAAACCGTCTGATTCAATTCAACAACAGCAATAATTAGAAGCCCAGCTGCGGGGCGGTTCTCGGATGTAATATGGATTCCCGGGCAACTGATTTTGCCACCACATCAAGAGTTGGTGAGCTTCGGCTGCCGCTGATGCCATTTCCTGGCGGGTAAGGCTTAAAGGCTGCTCGGTCTGTTGCTTAGACTCAGACTGAAACATAAAACTATCTAAAACCTCCAGTGCTGCTAGAGCCAAAGCACTCGGATGCATCTCATGAGTTCTTTGATGTCTGTCGACTTCGAGTACCGAGTCTTGTAGTCCACGGACGGAAAAGTGAGCTTGGCCAATCCATACTCCTGCCAATGACTCGGACGATTCCTCCTGAACCACCCCAAGGCCTGGCTGTAATCGTCCAGCAAGGTGTTGAGCTCCTAAGTTAGAAGACATGTCAGACGTTCAGGAAATTTTGCCATGCTGGACCATGCAATTGCTAGCCAAGTCTCGCACATGTCCACGATCATCTGGTACTGCAGGTTGGACAGTGGCACGTCCTTCTTGGCTTGGGCCTGCACGTGCTCTTTGGCCTCAGTTTGGCAGCAGGACTCGGCATCACAGATGCCCCAAGCAAACTGCACAGCTCGGACTTCGCCATCATTGAACTAAATTCGAACAGGTCACCTGCTGGGCCAATTTCTGCCTCTTCTTGTGCTCGCGCTGCGCCTTGCCCGGGTTCTTCGACTTCTTCTTGACCTCCGTCGCGGCACTCGAGGACGGCTCGGGCTTGGCCTTGGGCTCGGGGTTGGTCTTGGGCTTGGCTGGCTTGTACTTGGGCATCCCCTTCGGCTCGGGCTGATCCTGTCAGTCAAGCGACTCACTCTCGACCGGTAAATATTAAGCAATGTGAATCTGAATGACTCAGTTTCACCTTGCTGCTGCATTGCACTCGATTGGACCCAGCCTTCTTCTCGGGCAAGGAGCCATTGTCGGGAAGCCCGGACCACCACTCATCGGACGGGCTCCAATCATTGGACGAGGACCACCACTCGGACCAACTTCCGCCACGCTCGGACCACTTTCCATCCCGCTCAGACTGAGACTGAGACATGGCAAAATAATGGGCTAATGGCTTACTTCAGACATGCTTCAAACTCGGACATACTTCAAACTTGACTTCATCGTGCTACTGGCACTCTGTCATGGCTGTGGTGTGCATGGGTTCTGCTGGCAGTGGCCTTGAGCCCTGACTTTCGACTAGGAGGTTTCCAACTGCAAACACAAGCACGCCAATGACAACTGTGTGCTGAACTGGGCTTGGCACATCCTCGGGCCAGAAGGCTCGATCGCTGTGGCCAGCATGGACCTGGGTTGATAGAAATAACATCTCGGGTTGGAGCCTACGTCTCGGGAACTCAATGTCAAGGCACTCAGACAGTCATTCCTACTTTCCTCAAACTCCGAATGCCCGGGTTTAGGGTTTAGGGTTTAGGGTTTCGGGTTTAGGCTCGGTCTCGGGCTCCCGCGGATGCCTCGGGCAAGCTGAGGCCCCGGGCGAACTCGTAGCACTAAATTTTTAAACCACATGGCACGTGGCACATGACATCCAAGGCCCTCGGACTCGGGCCCTGAATGAGCATGAACCTTTTTGTGATGCTGTGACAAACAGTGCACTTGGGCACTGTCTGAGCACAGCATCGGCTTGGAGCTGTGACGAACACGCCCAAAACTCGGGCATGTTCGAGCACAGCTCCCCCACCTCGGACTCGGCCAGCGAAGTCGCCGTTGTCGAAAGCTCAGGGGGTTTGCTGGGGTTTCGGGCTTACTCGGGCTTAAACTTAATATCGGGCTTAGAGTCTCGGGCTTAAAGGTCCGGGTTTAGGGTACAGGGTCCCTGTGGGCTTATTAGGGGTTGGGGGTTGAAGTCTTGGTCTCGGGCCCACCCACCCCCCACTAAACCCTACAACAAACACACAGAGGCCCCGGCATGGTTGCTTCAACGACGATGGTGTGGTTCGGCAGAACATGGACGAAAGGAAGGGTGGTTAGGTCCCAAAACTCGGACTCGGCCGGGCACTTGGTTAAGTGAGACTCGGGCTTTCAAACTCAAAACTGGTTAAGTGGGACTCGGGCTTTGGGGATTTTGCACATGGCTACTGGTCCTGAGACTCAAACCTCGGGCCTAAACAAGGCAGACACAAATACCATTATATCTATATCATATTAATATAAATTGTATTATTATTAGTCTAATAATATATAGTATACACAACTGGAGCAAAAAAGCTTAGAACCTGCCAAGAGTGGGCAAGTATATATATAATAATAATAATATGGAAAAAACACGAAGAGTAAAACCAACTCCAAAACCGTTCAGGCCCTCTGCGTGGTTCGAAAGGGCCTCGAGAAGGCGCTTGAGGTCCCTGAGGTCGATGATCCCTCGGCTTGAAAAGGGTTCTGAAGGGGGGGGAGATGGCATGGGGTTTAGGGTTTAGGGTTTAGGGTTTAGGGTTTAGGGTTTAGGGTTTAGGGTTTAGGGCTTAGGGTTTAGGGTTTAGGGTTTAGGGTTTAGGGTTTAGGGTTTAGGGTTTAGGGTTTAGGGTTTAGGGTTTAGGGTTTAGGGTTTAGGGTTTAGGGTTTAGGGCGGGAAGGTTCAAGCAGGGTATTCAACCCAAGGTTCCCTGATAAGCGATTACTCCCCGCTGCTCCCTAAGGCTCCCTAAGCTTCCCTGAGGTTCCCTAGGTACCTGCCCCCCCATGAACTCCTCCCCCTTAAGCTGTGCATGGCGCAGGGTCCAGATTCACCAGCCTATCCGACAGGTCACCCAGAGGGAAAGAAGCCCTAAACCCTAAACCCTAAACCCTCCGGCTGCAGGGGCCTGTCCTGCAGGGACTTCTACGGTGGACTCGCGAGGCCCGTATTCAAAAAAAAACAAAGGTTTAGGGTTTGGGGTTTGGGGTTTAGGGTTTAAGGTTTAGGGTTTAGGGTTTGGGGTTTAGGGTTTGGGGTTTAGGGCTGTAAAGAGGTTAGCGACCCGGGCTCTGTGCAAATGGATCCAAATCAACGTCAGTTTAGGGCTGATGTGGTACCCAAAAAACCCCTAAACCCTAAACCCTAAACCCTAAACCCTAAACCCTAAACCCTAAACCCTAAACCCTAAACCCACAACATCCCAAAACCCTAAACCGCATGCTTCCAGGTGGGAGCCTCGCGCTTGTTGGAAAGTCTCACCTGCGGGAGAAACCCTAAACCCTCGATCCTACAAGTACAGTAGCCTCTTGATCCTAAACCCAAGACCCAAATACCTTTATCTTACTAACCCACTTTTTACTGTGATTTTTACCCAAGTGGGTTGTAAGTGCAGATGCTTTAACTGGGTTTTAAGTATCATGCACCTTCAAGAACCCTTACCCCTAAAAACTTCTCAGGGTAGGGTTTGCGGAAGGTTTGGGGAGGTAGGGCGAAGCGGGTCAGCAAGACGTTTTCTTGAGGGTTTCAGATTTCGGGGTTTAGGGGTCCCTTCGCCTCATAAGCCCTGAACCCTAAACCCTGAACCCTAAACCCTAAACCCTGAAACCCTAAACCCTAAAAAGTGCGAATCCCAGAGCCGTGGTACCGTTGGGAACACCCTGCTGGCCATCCGTCGCTTCGGGCGACGGGCGGTAGCGAAATGTCATTGACAATGGCCTCGCACAGAAGACTTTCTGGGAGGGAAGGAACCACAAGCATTTAGGGTTTAGGGTTTAGGGTTTAGGGTTATAGGGTTATAGGGTTATAGGGTTATAGGGCTTAGGGGTTTACACCTACAGTATGACTCTCTCCCTGGTGGCAGATAGGAGGTTTATAGCTTATTCAATCCTTAATAATTAATTAAGGCCCAAACAGCCCAAGCAGAAGCCGAAGCCGAGCCTTGATGGGTTCATCAGCAGGGTGCGGACCTCCTGGGTGGTGAGCTTGTCCACGCTGATGCCATTGATGCGGGAGAGGCGGTGGCCAACTCGAACGCCCTGCACACGTCTTGGGAAGCCGGGCTTGGGAAGTGAATTTCATTGCACTGAATGGGAGATGAGTTTGACCGGCATCTACTTAGTGTGGTGCGGTGTGGTGAAACGATGTGAAACGTAGACCGCTCACAGAGAGGACTCCACTTAGACAAGAGCAGCTTTTTAAAGCCATGCCCAACGACTGTGCTGCAAAGTCAATCTCGAAGACTGGCGCCTGATGCTCAGCAGGGCTGGCTGGCACGACGCCCACGACGAGCAGCGAAGGCGTGTCGGAGTCTGCGAAATGCACGCCGTAGGCCCCCGGTGAAGTAAACACCGCATCAATGGACTCGTTGTAAGCGGTGTCCTGACCAGGGATTATGGTGTACATCAGCTCAAATCTGCTGATTCCCTACCTTACCCTAAGGGTCCATGTGCCTATGGAGTCGATACTTGAACCCTGAAGCTACTACATAGGAACCCATTGAGGGCTCAAGTACAGACCATATAAGTAGGTTTCCAAATCTTCTTGGGCCGCTCGCAACCCCTTCGACCATAATTACAGGGCGCGCGCGCGGGTGAACCCTCAAACCCTGCAGCCCCACAAACCCTAAAACCCTAAACCCCTAAACTCTCCGATCCTAAACCATAAACGGGCGGGCACTTCTTAAGAAGATACTGGAGATCGGAAACCTCGACGCCCAAGGTGCGCACAGAGTGAAGCCGCACAGCAACAGTCCCCAACAGCCATATCGCAAGTTAAGGTTTGGGGTTTAGGTTTGTTTTGCCACCCATCTAGCCATGCTCCACGGGGCAACTGTAGAGAGAACGCCGCTCTGCACAAGCCCAAGTCAGAAAGCCAAAGTCTGCGGCAACATTAGGTGGTGGGTACTCACAGCCCCAAACCCTAAACCCTAAACCCCGTCCCCCAACTGAGTACCCCACAGGTAAGGGCCATCGTTCATCTCCAGGCCTAAACCCTAAACCCGAAACCCTAGACCCTAAACCCAGCTCGTATGTCCTAGCATCAACCCAGGGCCTCCTCAGCAAAACTACCCCTTAGAAGGCCCCTCACAAGGGTTCCTGCCAAGGGTTGTGGGTTAGGTTCACAGGGTTTAGGTTTATGGAGTTTAGGCTTACAGGGTTTAGGTTTATGGAGTTTAGGTTTACAGGGTTTAGGTTTGGGTTTACAGGGTTTAGGTTTGGGTTTACAGGGTTTAGGTTTATTGGGTTTAGGCTTACAGGGTTTAGGTTTATAGGGTTTTAGGTTTGCAGGGTTGGGGTTTCAAAGTCATCTCCTCGCTACGTGCCGCTGCCAGTGCCGCGAAGACGTCCCGACGGCCGACGACACCGTCGCCGCCCACATCAAGTAGGCCGAAAGCGATACGGTTACCTGTGCTTGGAGATTCGTGGTACTTCAAACCCAGTTAGAACTGTACTTATAACCCACTTATAAGCCCGTTAAGTGCCTTAAAATGGTTGTATTTGGGTTAGAATAAGTACAGATATATTTGGGTTAAGTACCATGAACCTCCAAGTGGCGGGCAGTTCTCCAATTTATGGTCTACTTTGGGGTAGTTCCCCCTACATGCACGACCCTAAACCCTAAACCCTAAACCCAAAACCCTAAGAGCCGAAACCCTAACACGACACGCACTTATATCCCTAGCCACCCTCAGTCCCTAAGTACCCTGAACCCTACATCCTACATCCTAAAGCATCTGCCGCGAACCCCAAGCCAAGGACTCGAAGTAGCCTATCACATGCATGCTACCAGCAACTAGAAAGCACCAAACCTCCTTTGTTGATAACGCCGAAATCCTAAACCGGGAGCCGTAAACTTGACTCTACACCTTTAAGCCTCTGTCTATCCCTCCCTTTCTCAATGGCGTGAAGCATACAGGCGCGCGAATGAACCTCTTAACTACGGTATGGCAACTTCGACAAAGCTACCATCCTAGGAATGCTACCGAGTAGACAACCCGGATCCCACCGAGTCAACTAGGACTTGCTTAAGAACCCCCAAAAAACTACGCATGTTCTTCCTTGTAAGGGTTTGTATGGGGATTACTATCTTCCTTTTCTTAGGGGGTTCTTAACTAGGATCGTGGTTGAAAAAACGTTTTGAAAAAATGTTCCGAAATATGAACCTCTTAAACCCCAAAAAGGGAAACCCTAAAACATCCCCAAGGGCCTACCTAGGTAAGCAAAATAGCAAACCCTAAACCCTAAACCCTAAAACCTAGTAGATAACATGTTGGTTCCTTGCCCAGGGGCGCTTCTCCGGGGTGGCCGTGACCTGGGGAGAGTTTAGGGTTTAGGGTTTAGGGTTTAGGGTTTAGGGTTTAGGGTTTAGGGTTTAGGGTTTAGGGTGGCTTTGACCCACGCCTGTGGTCTCGGTTTGCGTTCAGGGTTCAGGGCGCTTAGGGCGCACAGTCCTTAATAGGGAATCTAGTACCCTATGACATGAAGGACTGTTAGTATAAGGGGGATCATCCCAACTTGCACTCTCTGCAGCAGCAGGCTGTGCGCAACATTTAGGGTTTAGGGTTTGGGGTTTAGGGTTTAGGGTTTAGGGATTAGGGTTTATGCCAGAAAACAGCTCTTTGCTGGGCTGCCCACGAGAAGAGCCACGCGCTCCTCGTACAGCTTGTACCGGATCTTGCCTCCGCCGCCCCCCAGCTTTCAGGGTTTAGGGTTTAGGGTTTAGGGTGGGTTGACCGCCAGGGTTCACTGCGAAGTCGACACGCCTACTGTCGCCATCCGATAGAAGGGTTCAAAACAGAGCAGGGGCCTGAGCTAAATTATGGGCACGTTCTTGGCACTTTGAATTGTACGACACATACCTTGGAATGTTCCCCCGTTTGCTGACAGTCCTACTCCCTATTAAGGAGCTGCTAGCATAAGGGGAACATCCCAACACATACCCTATTTGAACCCCAAGGAGGCCCACAAATCATATCAGGTTACATTTAAGACGTTCGCCGGCCTGTAATTCTTGGAAAACAACCCAGAATTCATTTGCATGTATTTAGCATTCTTGCGGAGAACGGGTTTGCGAAAGAATTGAGAAAAACAGAAAAATCTCAGAGGAAAAATGAGAAAAATGGAGAAACAATTGAGAAAATTGAGAGAAAATCAGCGGGCGCTGTTTTTCGCTATGTGTTCGCTATTGTTTTGCTATGTTTGCGCTATTTCCCGAGGAAATATCGCGAAAAACTAGCGACAATGTTGCGAACCAATTGCCTTTTTGTGATGTTTTTTTTGCGGAAAATTAGCGAAAAATAGCGCGAGTTTCCGCCTGCCCCCTCGACTTCCGCAGGAAATCACCCCAAGAACGCAAAGCAAACGCTAAGAAAACGCTAGCTCGTGCGCAAAGGAACTCGCTAAAAAAAACGAAATGAATTCCTTGCCGTGTGACCCAGAAATTACAAGGCACGCACCTCTTAAGGTTAGATCAGCCTCCGACAGGTAAAAGGGCCCAAGATCGAGGCAAACAATTCAGGTCGCGCTTCAGCCGGGTTTAGGGTTTAGGGTTTAGGGTTTAGGGTTTAGGGTTTAGGGTTTAGGGTTGGCAGACGCCCTCCGCCGTTCTGCAGGCACATTCCCCAACCCTGATGCCGTAAACCTTGAACCCGTGCAGTCTTGTTTTCAAAACTGGCATCCCTCGTGCCCTACAAGACTCTGTCGCTTCTAAATCTGGAGCCCTACACGCCCCAAAAGCCTCAAACCCTAAACCCTAAACCCTAAACCCTAAACCCTAAACCCTAAACCCTAAACCCTGAACCCTGAACCCAAGGTTGAGGCCCTCATACAGTACAAAATGGCTTCATTGGAGAAGAAGGGGGAGCTACTTGTTTGCATATACTTAGTAGCCCAGTAACCATATTATGGATAAGGGCACCCTTTTTTGGGGTTGGTTACTTTATAAGCCTTATAGGTTTTAAAAAACTACTGCTGTCTTGGTGGTTATGTTTTTGTTCTTTTTTTTTTCGGGGGTGGGGGGGGGGGGACCTGATGACCCTAAACCCTCTTGACACTGGACCTGCTGACAACCCCTGGTCTACTATGTGCTTAAGAACCCCCCCCCCCCCACCACCAAAAAAATTAAAATGAACTTCTTCCTGCAAGGGCAATATAGGATTATTCTAAACCCTAAGCCCTAAGCCCTAAGCCCTAAGCCCTAAACCCTAAACCCTAAACCCTGAACCCTAAACCCTAAACCCTAAACCCCGGCCGCCTTTGAGGCCCTTGAGGCCGAAATAGACACCCAAGCGCTGGATGTGCGCCTCACTTATCGGGTTCTTGGGAGGGGGGATTCAAGGGGGTTATGCCGGTTTAGGGTTTAGGGTTTAGGGTTTAGGGTTTAGGGCTTTAGGGTTCCATGATACTCCCCGCAACTCCCTGGCTCCTTTCAGGTTCCCTACCTACATACCTACCCCCCCCCCCCCCCATGAACCTCCCTGAAGGAAGATCCCTTCAAATATCAAGGGATCCTTAATATGACTTTAGGAATGTTCCTGGTATTGGGCTTTTTGGGAAGTTTAGCGTTTAGGGTTTAGGGTTTAGGGGTAAGTAGGGTAAGTAAGGCGGGCTATGGGTGTTATAAGAGGGGCTTCTAGGGAACACTAAGTATAGGCTTACTAAGTCAAAAAAAGAGCTTCCAAGTGGTTCTTCAGGAGTTTCCGAACCGCCAGAACATTCAATGTGACCTGCTCAGCAGCTAAGCAGCTAGGCAGTGCAGCGAGGGAGTCCCCCAAAGTTTTTTTTTTTTTTTTTTTGGGGGGGGGTTCGGGTTTCGAGTGGTAGAGAATGCTTTTGACTTGGGATGTTCCTCCTTATGCTCACCGTCTGTAATAGGGATGGTGGTACCCCCTATTCGAACCCCTCAGCAAGGAGCTGGTCGTATAAGGGGGAACATCCCAAGTTTGGTCTCCTGACCTGAGCCGGAGGCACGGGGTGCGGGCATGCAGAAGAGAGTTGGAAACAGAAACTTCCAAAACGGGTGATCAACCATCCCTTCTTGAATACTCATACTGTAAACTGTAACCCGAAACCCTAAACCCAAAACCCTTCTTGAATACTGATGCTGAGTAACAGAGCTCCGGGGATAACCTCTCCGAAATCCCGACATTTAGCTGACGATGACAAGGAGAACCATATTGCTTTCCCTATGCCCTGACTATTGCGGCAACTGTAGCCTAGTTAGACTTCCTCCTAATCAGCAGAACCACAGCCTCAGAGTCTCAATGCCCGACTGAGCCATAAGGCCGGCTTTGTACATGTTTCTTGAAACTGGCTTCCTGTTGAAGAACTGAAACGAAGTTCCAAAACAAGGGCGTCGCACTATTTACGCTTACGGAAAAGGGATTGGGGTCTAAAGTTTTCGGGTTTAGGGTTTTTGGGCCCCAAACCCTAAACCCTAAACCCTAAACCCTAAACCCGGTAGAGGGTTCGTCCTCTACTGGGCCCAACTCATGTCACAGGACAGCCGGGTCGCGCTGGACAGCTTGCCACGCAAGCTCTTGGCGACCTGCCAGAGGGTTTTTATGGGTTAGGGTTCAGGGCTTTTGGGCCCAAACCCTAAACCCTAAACCCTAAACCCTAAATCCTCCGAAGCAGGGCGGTCGAGAATGGCCGAAATTTGCATCCTCCCATTGCTACAAATCCATCAACCTACTTGATACAAACCTATGTACAAGCGGGGCCTAAGCCCGAAACTTTCAAGGGAGAGTCTAGGTTGGCCTTTAAACATTCTGAAAAAGATTTCTATAAAGGGTCCCTTATAAACCCTGAACCCTAAACCCTAAACCCTAAACAACCCTAAACCCTAAACCCCAAAAACCAACCTCGTAGTCTTAGGCTCCTGTATCGCTGGGCCGTCACGTGCCTCTGCCCAGGAAATCATAGCTCCGGAGCTGGCCCTGAAAGGAGCTCTTGGGGAAGTTTAGGGTTTAGGGTTTAGGGTTTCGGGTTTAGGGCTTAGGGCTTAGGGTTTAGGGTTTGGGGTTTAGGGTTTAGGGTCTAGGGTTTAGGGTTTAGGGTTTAGGGGTAGGGTTTAGAGTTTAGGGTACGTAACGTACATACCTTTAGAGCAAAGACATGTTCCGAAACCAAAAAACTTTGAGCACACATCATTGGGTACACGTACCGCGGACTTCTTTTGCTGGGCCAATCCCTCAACCCCAAACCCTGTAGGGTCTTTCCCTCCATCTGTGTAGTCCTGCGCCAGTTGTGGATAACCCAAGGCTCCAGACAGAAGGGCTGCAAGCAAGCACCAAGAATGCAGTTTAGGGTCTGTCTAGATGTTAGGGTTTGGGATTCAACACAGCCAGCAACTAGACCCAAGACTAAGCTAGGAATAAACAGGGAACCCTTTATTGATGAAAAGGGTCATATAAGGGAGCCTAAACCCCCCCAAAAAAGGAAGAAGGGCCTACTTTGGGTCCTAGTTTTGGGATGAAACAGAGCCAGCAAGTGGTTCACGGGCAGAAGCCGTGGTCATGCCCATCAGCTACGGTTTAGGGTTTAGGGTTCAGGGTTCAGGGTTCAGGGTTTAGGGTTTAGGGTTTAGGGTTTAGGGTTTGAGGTTTAGGGTTTGGGGTTTAGGGTTTAGGCGGTTTAGGGTTTAGGGGGTTTAGGGTTTAGGGGGTTTAGGGTTTAGGGTTTAGGGTTTAGGGTTTAGGGTTTAGGGTTTAGGGTTTAGGGTTTAGGGTTTAGGGTTTAGGGTTTCACGCCCACTCCCAACAAAGCCCCGCCTCACCGCGTCGTCTGCGGGCTCCGCTTTGGCACCCCCCTCTCGGCCATCCTGGTGGCGATGAAGATTTGTGGCTGATTTGGAGGTCCATGTTGAGAAGAGATAGGGGGCTGATCTGGAGGTCCATATTGAGAAGAGAAAGGGATCCAGCCCGATTTATGCGGAGAACTATCACTATTTCGGGAACAGGTACAAATTAAGTTCTAGTACTAAATACTGTGTCGGGCTTGGGTCCGGTAAAACTACTGCCAAACCCGGCTGGCGGTGCGAATGGACGCAACGCAACATGAGGGCGTGGCTTTTCAGGTGTTCCCATCGCTTTGCAGGGTTTGAGCATCAGTTATCCACGCTTGATGTCTACAGGACTCGAAACTCCTAAACTCAAGAGGACTCTGACATTCTGACCTGTGGGCACCAGAAGTAGCCCCCAAGTCCCCCTAAACAACCCCCAAGGTCCCTGTAGGCAAGGGACAATGTTACGGGCCGCTGAAACTACCCTCCTACTACCGTTCAAGCCTTCCAACCTCGTATGATTGTTTCAGTTGTAGGATATAGGCATATGAATGCTGAGATGCCCCTTCATTGACGAGGCCCTTTAGCTCCACGTCCCTAAGCCCTAAAGTATTCAAGCGTTCCAGCCTAGTAGAACTTCTCAACTGCAAAATACGAATGCTGAGGTCGTCCCTCTCTCACTGCCAGCCCTAAACTTTCAGCCCTGCACCCTAAACCCACACCATAACTACGAACTGCTTAAGAACATCCCAAAAAAAAGAAAAGTATGTGTGTGCGTATAATTTATACATATATATATATGTATACATAACTGCCTTATAAGGCAATACAGGGATTATTATCTTGCATTCTTTTTGGTGGGGGGGGGGGGGGGGGGGGGCTTTAAGCAAAAAGTGGCAAACCCTAAGCCCGAAAGCGCTAAACCCTAAACCCTAAACCCGAAAACCCTAAGACATCGCAGAATCGAAGGGCCACCTTCCGATCTGACTTCTCGCCCGCGCGCTCGGCCTACAAGTGCCAATGAGGTCTGCAGGCAGGGTCTAGGGTTGAGGGTTTAGGTTTAGGGTTTAGGGTTTGGTTTAGGGTTTGGGGTTTGGGGTTTGGGGTTTGGGGTTTGGGGTTTGGGGTTTGGGGTTTGGGGTTTGGGGTTTGGGGTTTGGGGTTTGGGGTTTGGGGGTTGGGGTTGGGGTTTGGGGTTTGGGGTTTAGGCTTTAGGCTTTAGGCTTTAGGCTTTAGGCTTTAGGCTTTAGGCTTTAGGCTTTCCTATAAGCTAACTTCCCCAAATATGGTCCCTTTCAGGGGTCCTTACTGTAGGGCGGCCCCTAATATGTCGGGGACCGAAAAACGGGGACCATAATGTTGAGAACTGATATATCAAGAAACGTTAATTCCAAGGGCACTGCTGGTCGTCCTGGTATGGACTTGTAGGGTTCTTGGTGATCTGGACACGTTCACTCTCCAATTTGTTTTTTTTTTTTTTTTTTTTTTTTTGGGGGGGGGGGGGGGGGGGGCGCCGGTAGTGAGCACGTGGAAGACACGGCAGAGAAGTTGAGAACAACTGCACACGCTCTCAGCAGCAGGTGCTCAAGGGCACCCACGAAAGTCGCGCTGTCAAACTCGCAAGGGGGAAGGAATTTTTTGGGACTGGATGCGCATGGGTATCATGTCTTGGGATGTGCCCCCTTATACTAACAGTCCTTAACAGGGATTATAGTAGCGGATACGAGAATCCCGACTAAGGACGGCGAGTATAAGGGGGAACATCCCAGATCATGCCAAACACTATTGTTCATGGACCTTGTGGGCCGAACAAACCCTCCCCCACACAGTTCACGAAGGCTTGAGCCCCCCCAAGCATCGAACTTGCCTGCGTTTCGGGTTTAGGGTCCCTAAACCCTAAACCTTAAACCCTAAACAAGTAGGGCTGCTGAAAAAGAGGTCCCGACCGGTGTGGCCCCAGTGGAGGACTTCGCCATCTCGCGGAACACGGCGAGGATGCTCCGCTGCTCCCAATCTCAGTCTCAGAAGTCTTGAAGGCTTCGAGCTCGGAAACAGCTACTCGTGTCTCTGCACGTCCGTGTCTCCGTTTCTCTCTCTAGCTCTCTCTCTGTCTCTGTCTCTCTGTGTGTCTCTGTCTCTGTCTTGGCATGCGGGCTCGCCGTGCTTTGTGCAAGGTAGGGAGTTGCAGCCTAGCTAGAAAACTAACAATCATACTGTGAGCCTCCGAGTGAGGTGGCTAGCGAGCTAGAAGGACAATTTTGTCCGTGTGCTTTAAGTATTGGTCACTTACACCTGGCAGTGAATTCTCAGATTGCGCAAAAAGATGAAGAAGTTGCTTGAAACGGTATTGAAGCATCACAAACACCGGCTGGTCGACCCTGTAAACCCTCAATGTTCAAGCCCCAGAATCACTAGACGCAAGAGTTTTTTTTGCATAGACAGGGGGCATATAAGGGAACCCGAACCCCAAAAAAGGAGAATAAGGGCCTACTTTGGGTCCGAGATCAACACTCCCAAAATCCCATCCCTCAACCCCACTCACCCGTCCCCCGCACCGTGCCAAACCCCAACCTGAAACCCTCCAAGCAAGACAACCTGCCCAAAAGCTACTATGCAGTACCTTTTTGGGGTAGTATACTAAAACCCCCGAGAACTCAACCAAAAAGGAACTACGTTAGAGCCTTCAGGTAAACCCCTAAACCCTAAACCCCTAGATCCCTGAACCCCTACACCCTACTTGGAAGCCCTTTTCACTTGGTCAGGCTATTTAGTTTTTGAAGAAACCCTTGAATACTCCCCGCAACCCAACTCGCTAACCCTACCCTACTTACCCTAAACCCCAAACCCCTAAACCCCTTTTTACATCCAGGCCTCTGATCCGCCAGCCCGGCAAGCAAGGTGAGAAACAATGTCAACTGCGGGGACTATGTGAAGCCCCAAAACCCCTAAACCCCTCAACCCCCAAAACTCTTGACCCCTCAACCCCTAAACCCTTAAACCACTAACCCCCTAACACTAACCCCTAAACCCCTGAACCCTAAGCCTCAAACCCCCAAAATCCTAAACCCACACCAAGTCGCTGGACAGCTCCCGCGTGCCCGTCAGTTCGTCCATCACCTTAGCGGTTTCCAAGGGTTGGCTCTTGGAAAGTTTCTGAAAAGAGGGCTCCTACCTAGGGTTTAGGTTTAGGGTAAAGTTTCTGAAAAGGGTTTCTACCTCCTCCCCAGGGTTTAGGGTTAAAGGGTTTAGGGGTTTAGGGGTTCAAGGGCCTAGGGGTTTAGGGCTTTGTTGCTTATGCTCTAGGAGTTTAAGGAAAAGATTCCTACATCTGATCCTCCGAGACTCCATAAGGACAAGACTGAATGTCCAAAAGAGCAGACGTAGCTTCAGGGTTAAGGGGGTTCGGGGCTTTTGTGTCAGGGCTTTAGGGTGATAGGGTTTCGGGTGTAGAGTTTAGGGGTTCAGGGTCGGGGGTTCAGGGCTCAGGGAGTTCAGGGATTTTGCGTGATGGGGGTGCGGGCGTTAAGTTTAGGGGAGAGAAGTTTAGGGGCTCAGGTTTCTGAACTTGGGGGTGTTGGGTTCAGGGTGGCTTAGGGCTTTAGATCGGGGGACTTAGCAGGCGGGTTAAGTGGCGGCAGACATGAATAAGTAGAATAACCCAATTGGGTCCCCTTCAGGGTGCTTATAACTTCCTAAACCCTAACCACTTACGAAGTCCCCCGATCTGCCAAGTGAGAGGCTCAGGTAGTCAAGATAAGTATGGAACTCGCGATGGCGCAAGCATTCAGGTAGCCTAGGGAGAGGCCATCGCAGGTTTAGGGTTTAGGGTTTAGGGTTTCGGGCTTAGGGTTTAGGGTTTTGGGTTTAGGGGGTCTACCTAGTTTGCAAC